CACATAGTATAACTTTAAAGTACCATGCCAGGAGAAGGCCCACTTTCCCTGCTTTATTTTACAGATGGGGAGACTTGAGCTCAGCGACTTGGCAGTCACAGTCATGTGAGACTACTTAGGGAAGAGGAACAGAGGTGAAAAGTGTCTGCTCTTGGGTTGGGCCACGTCTGGATGTCAGGTGTGATGGGATTAAGTGGATCAAGTACTACTTGAGAAGGGTACATGGGAAAGCAGCTAGACATAGGTGAATGGGAATGGGCAAGGAACTCACCTCTGTATGTTATACAAAGAGGCCAAAGGATCCCCTGCTGCTATAGTTACAAGGTAGTTATGAGTCTTCCAATGTGAGTAATAGGAATCAAATGCAGGTCCACGACAAGAGCTCCTAACCCTGCTCCAGCAGTAGCCATCAGATGGGCTTTGGTGGGAACATGCTGATAATTTCAGCAGTTATGCTAGGCTGGGCTGAGGGACTGTGTAAGGAAAGTTGACATCAGAAGTTAAGTGCTTGGCTTTGGAAGAAGCAGGAGAGGTGGCCAGCAGTGGATGTACCTAGGTCACCTGGATCTCATGATTTTGCCTCAGGAGATTTGAAGCCCTCTAATCTTGAGTTAGCAGGGCTTGTCTGTGAGGTAGCCACTGGCTCACTTCAGCTCATTTTGCTCACAGTAAAGGAGGCTAAACATATATGTCCAGGTATCTGATTAGGAGGCTTGAAAACAAAACTTGCTTTAAAAGGGGGGCTTGCGCATGTGTAACTGAGTCCTCTAGCAGCCGGGTAAAGCTTGAGCAGCCAGGTAAAGCCTGGTGTAGCCGTGACATGGCCATGAGCATCCAGTCCATCCTTGGGGGCAGGGTCAGCAGGCAACTTACAGTCTCCTGACCAAGTGACCAAGATCTTCCTAGTCTTTAGTTGACTTCAGCAGTGATTTTTTTTCTTTTTCTTGTTGTTACTGTTTCTCAATAGAGGATCTCAAAATAACCCAGGTTGTACATTGAGCTTGCTGAGTAGCTGAGGGTGACTTCGACTTATCATCCTGCCCCTGCCTCCAAGTACTGGACCATAGTCATATACTACCATGCCCAGCTCTAAACCACAATGTGTTTTTTTTTTCTTTTTTCTTTTTTAGATACATATTTTGAGATAGTGGGTCTTGTATCCCAGGCTGATCTTGAACATGCTATATGGTCAAGAATGACTTTGAACTTCTTATCCTCCCATGCTAAGGGTACAGGAATCTACCACATACCTACCTAGTTGTGTGGTGGTGACGATGGAACCCAGGGTGTTGTGGGTACTCAACAAGTACTGATATAACTGAGCTACAGTACCAGTAAACCCATTCATGATTACCGTCTTATTGAAAAAGGAATTGGGCTTCTGAGGTGTGCTCAGACTCAAGGAAAAGCAGCTGATGTAGGAGCACCAGCCCTGGTTCTTTTTTGGTGCATATCCTTGCTCCTTTGCCTGGGAAGTTGCCAATGTCCCTCTGCTTCTGCCAATGTCCCTGTGATTCTGCACATGTATGAATCTGTCTTGATTTGAGAAGTGGCATATTTGGTTCTGATGTGTTATGAAACTAGACAACATGGCTACTGTATCAAGGGGAAACTGACAAGTTGTGGGTTTAGTACTGGCCTAGGATAGATGGTACTGCTCATATTGGGAATTAACCTCACATGCTTGCCCCAGTTCCTATGTGGAAACCAGTGGCCACAGTCCCTGGGGTCTTGAAAAGGAGTATGTCTTTGACATGTCTTACATAAAATTAGACAGCAAAAGTGGCCTAGTAAGATTGGAGGGACCAACAAGTGGGCATTTGCTTTTGGGCAAAGAGGTGAGGGACTGTCCAAAGTTTTCACATTTAGTAACATTAAAAGACCCAGGAACCAAGGGCTGAGGCTTCAGTGGTCCTGTCAACAGGCACTGAATGTACCCATGTATTCTGGCTCATGGGGTTACTCCACATCCTGCTAGGATGCAGACAATTGGATTCGTGCAATCATAAGAGCAACAGAACTCTGATGTGGCAGCTTCAATGCCATGATGAGGTGTCATTCCTGGCATGCAGAAGATTCATCCTGCTTGGATTGCACTTGGTACACTTTATAGGAGAGCAGGCTCTTGCTGACATAGCTAATTTAATCTTGTCTTTGCCCCCTTCCCCTTTTAGTGTGCCCCCAACTTCCATGGAAACATGCCCAGGTCCTTCCAGCTGGCACCATTAGTGAGCTAGTCAAAGCTTAGTTTTGGCAGAGCCCAGGGAGGAAGGCTTTTCTGCCATAACACAGCCATGGCCTTTCTTTCTGTCATGCCCACACCTCTGAACATCCCAGGTCTCTAGGGTCAAAGGATCAGCTGTAATCATTTGGGGTAACATACAAACTCAATCTAGGCCTTTGCTCTTGCTCAGCTTTGGGTCTTTCTGCCGTGAGCAGATGAATAGCCTGATGTTACAGCAGTCTAGAAAGGTAGAACCTTTTCACTCTCATATTACAGATATAAAATTGAGGAGAAATGAACTCAGTTCCCCAAGATCTGGTAGCTACTAAGCTGTAAGAAAGATGGTTCAATTCTAAAGCAGCTGGTTCCCTGAGCCCTCACCCTACCTCCAAGCCAAAGGTGTTTTGCCTGAGATGTTCTTCAATCGTACCCTCTCAAATTGTACAGTGTTGGCTCAACTACATAGTAGTCTCCACAACACTTGTGCGTTTCCTTGCCAGCTCTCTTCCCCAGAGTCTTTCCATTAACACTCAATAATCTGCCCTTACTAATGGGCTAGAACAGACATTGACAGCATACAAGTTCCATATTCTCCAGGTGAGCACCTTTGGCTCTACAGGGAGGTGTGGCATTCAGCTGTGGAATGTATACTTATTTCCTGGCCTCTCTCTACATTCAAAACTCTAATGACTCTTGCCATCCCTGATACCTGATCTTGGTGTGCTGAGATCATAAAGGGCCTCTATGACTTGTTTTCTGTTATTATGATGTAGTACCTGAGGCTTGGTGCTGTACAGAGGAAAGATACTCATTTAGTTCTGGAGACTGAAGAATATGGTTTTAGCGGTGCCTTAGCTCAGGTAAGGCTCTCATGACTGGTGGTATTACAGTGGCAGGCAGGAGAGCCTATGTGTCGGAGAGACAACTTACATGATGAAATGGGAAGCCAGGAAGAAACCAGAACTGGGCTAGACTTGCTTTTGGGTAACAAACACTCATAAGAACTAACAAGGTTCTCCCAAGGGGTCAACATCAGGTGTCCTTATCACTGTTTGCCTTACTTTATGAGATAGGATATCTCAGTGAATTTACAGTTCATCAATTTGGCTAGACTGGCTTTGCCTTCCCAGTGCTAGGAATAAGGATAAGTTACCATGCCAAGCACTGACTGAGCCATTTCCCCATCCTCCAAACTGCTGTATAGGAGAGAGAGGGAGGAACAGAAGGAGAGAGAGGGAGGGAAGGAGGGGGGAGAGAGAGGGAGGGAAGGAGGGGGAGAGAGGGGGAGGGAAGGAGGGGGAGAGAGGGGAGGGAAGGAGGGGGAGAGAGAGGGAGGAACAGAAGGAGAGAGAGGGAGGGAAGGAGGGGGGAGAGAGAGGGAGGGAAGGAGGGGGAGAGAGGGGGAGGGAAGGATGGGGAGAGAGGGGGAGGGAAAGAGGGGGAGAGAGGGGAGGGAAGGAGGGGGAGAGAGAGGGAGGGAAGGAGGGGGAGAGAGAGGGAGGGAAGGACGGGGAGAGAGGGGGAGGGAAAGAGGGGGAGAGAGGGGAGGGAAGGAGGGGGAGAGAGGGGGAGGGAAGGAGGGGGAGAGAGGGGAGGGAAGGAGGGGGAGAGACGGAGGGAAGGAGGGGGAGAGAGAGGGAGGGAAGGAGGGGGGAGAGAGGGGAGGGAAGGAGGGGGGAGAGAGGGGGAGGGAAGGACGGGGAGAGAGGGGGAGGGAAGGAGGGGGAGAGAGGGGAGGGGGAGAGAGGGGGAGGGAAGGAGGGGGAGAGAGGGGGAGGGAAGGAGGGGGAGAGAGGGGAGGGAAGGAGGGGGAGAGAGGGGGAGGGAAGGAGGGGGAGGGAAGGAGGGGGAGAGAGGGAGGGAAGGAGGGGGAGAGAGGGGGAGGGAAGGAGGGGGAGGGAAGGACGGGGAGAGAGGGGAGGGAAGGAGGGGGAGAGAGAGGGAGGGAAGGAGGGGGGAGAGAGGGGGAGGGAAGGAGGGGGAGAGGGAGGAGAGAGGGAAGAGGGAGAGAGAGGGGGAGGGAGGAGGGGGAGAGAGGGGGAGGGAGGAGTGTGAGGGAGGAGGGAGGAGGGGGAGAGAGGGGGAGGGAGGAGTGTGAGGGAGGAGGGAGGGAGGGTGAGAGAGGAGGGAGGAGTGTGAGGGAGGGAGGGAGGAGTGTGAGGGAGGGAGGGAGGGAGGAGGGGTGAGGGAGGACGGTGAGAGAAGGAGGGAGGAGTGGGAGGGAGGGAGGGAGGAGGGTGAGGGAGGGAGGAGGGTGAGGGAGGAGGGTAAGGGAGGGAGGAGGGGTGAGGGGTGAGGGAGGAGGGAGGAGTGTGAGAGAGGGAGGGAGGGAGGAGGGGGGAGGGAGGAGGGGGAGGGAGGGAGGGAGGAGGGGGAGGGAGGAGGGGGAGGGAGGGAGGGAGGAGGGGGAGGGAGGGAGGGAGGAGGGAGAGGGAGGAGGGGGAGGGAGGGAGGGAGGAGGGGGAGGGAGGGGGTGAGAGAGGAGGGAGGAGGGTGAGAGAAGGAGGGAGGGAAGGAGGGGGGGAGAGAGGTTTGGGAGGTTGGCAGAATATATTCACGTGTGGTGCTCTTAATGGCTGCAGCTTAGGGTGTACCCTGTCAGAACCCAAGGACAGGCTAGTGCAGAAGCATGAAAACTAACACAAACTTCACTTCTCTGAAGTCCCACTACTGTCTTAATATTGCTATATGGGGACCAAGCTTTCAGCACAAGAGCCCTTACAGGACACGCCACAAATTCACATATTGACAAATCTGTATTTGTCTTTGTCCTCAGGAACCCACTGAATCCACTAATAACAGGTTTGGAAATCTATCATCACAAATATGTCAGCATTAGGAGATAATGGAAAAGGTGAGCCTGGGCTTCACGTTGCCTGAATTATCTCAGGCAAACCCTTAGAGGGACATGAACATTGCCCAGGCAGCTAATGGATGACCTCATAATGGGAGGGCTGGCAAGGGCTCTGGAACTAAGGTTCACCCTTTAAGGCTCTTAGGCTTTCCCCTCCCAGGGAAACCTTTGCAACCTGGTGAAGAGGAGCGCAATAATGTCCTAAAACAAATGAAAGTACGAACTACACTGAAGGGTGACAAGAGCTGGATCATCAAGCATGAAGACTCAGAGGACCGTACCATGTAAGTCCAGGAGGCAAGGCCAGAAGGGAAGGCAACAGATGAGGGAATTGCATGGGCTTCTCCTGAAGACATTTAGAGCTAAGTAAGGCTGTGTGTCCACTGGCCAGGCAGGTGAGGATAAAAACCTAAACACAGCCACAGATGGGACAGTACTGGATACTGAGAGGCATGTGTGGTCACATACCTGTAAAGTGGGTCAGGAGAGGAGAAGGTGGTGCATAGCAGGCCAACTTTGGGATGGAGCCACAGAGTAGCAGGTGGCAATGAGAATGGGAGCCCATTGTGTTCATGTCCCGTCTTTCCCCAGAGAGCTTCCTTCGTCATCAGTTGGAGAAGTATCAAATGCCAGGTAAGAGGTAGTATCTAGTTGACTTTTAAATGGACCCCAGAGGTTCTCCTGCTGCAAGGAGGGGTGGACATCACATAAGGAACAAATAGGGAGCCTGAATTGATAAGGGGCATGAAGGATCATTTAAAATGAGTCATTTGAAATGCATGGAAAAGACAAGATCTTTGGACTTCCCTTTTAGTGTTTCTGCAACTTGCCCATCTCCTAGAAGATGCTCCCTGATAAAAACAGGGTCTGTAGGATTAAATGTTGGACCCCTGTGGTACCCTTAAACTGAACCTCGATGTTCCAGCCAGGAGTGCTCATAATGCTGAGTAGGATTATCTACTGAGTCATTGTCCTCTTGCAAACTCCTCTGAGGGGGCCTGATTGCCAAATTATCCCCCTTTCACTACTTCTAGCATGCTCTCCCTAGTGCCCCCAAGTCTTCTGAAACCCTCTGTTGTTGACAAATGGCAAGCCCCAGTACCCACAAACTAATGTTTTCTAGCCATTTACCAAGTCTGACGCATACCTTCTGGCTTCACACTTCTATCAAAATGTGCCCTAGGGGCCAGAGGAGGAAACATTCTAGAGGAGTGGTATAGGAAGGCCATGATGCTTTACCTTGTATTCACTTCAGCCCCAAGTTGAAGTTAGCCTAGGCTCTGACCAAGGGACTTTCAGTCTGATCCAGGAGAGAACAGGCAGAGCTCCTTCAAGTGCCTTGGCGCCTGGATGAGCAAAAACTTCTGGAACTTTTCGATAAATGTTAAAACATAGAGCAAGCCTGTCTGGCACCCTGTTGTAAGTCAGGGCCATGCTGGACATGGCTGTGGAGGAGAGACTGAAAGAGTGGGTACCTGGACACTATATTGGGATACCCATCAGCTGTAGTTGGGGGCAAAATGCAATAAGCAATGGCCTGAGCTCTGTAGTCAGACCATTGTTCCCCTCAAACTTCCTTTTCTCTTGGTAGAACTCCAAACACAAAGGCTCCTGCTGGTTACATCATCCGGTAAGTGACCTCAAGATTACCTGTATCCTTATCCCACTATGACCACCCTCACACTTCTCAATACCTTCTGCCGTCTCTTGTAGGGGAGTGTTCACAAGAACAATTGACAGCTCTTCTCACTCCCAAAAGCACCTCTCTAAGACCAATAGAGCTTCAAGAAGGTATATCCTTGGTGTGCTGCCCAGATGGTCAATATGAAGGTGGGAGAAAGAGCCTTGTCCAGAGCCAGGTCCAAGGAGTATAGGAATGTTCTGCCTGGCTCTGGCCACTGGCCAGGGGCAGTGGCTTGGAGGGGAGCTCTGGACAGAGATGTAGATTGTGCCTACACTTCCTACTACCCACATATCTTCATTTTACTTACTCCTTGTCCCCTTCGCCTCATAGCTGGCACCTTGCACTTGCTGAGGGTTTTGAGCCTTGCACTTGCTGAGGGTTTTGAGCCATGCACTTAGTTCACCTTCCCAGTAAGCCAAGGCGTCATGTTATATAAACACCTTGGTATCAGTCAGAACTGGGGCTCCATTAGAGATGATACAAATGAGAACCCAGTGGGCTGTTTCATTTTGAGTCTCCTAGTGGCCCACTCCTAGTGGTCCTGTCTCTCCTGGGCTGTGTGTGTAAACTAAGACAAGGACCTGTGCTTGAGCAGATGGAAATATCTTTCTGTTCTAGTGATTCTGGACTGCCAGGAACATCTAATTCCGGTCCTCTACATCACTCTTCGGGTTATAAGATGACTACGGAAGATTATAAGAAGCTGTGAGTACACAGTGATCCCAGACAGTGGATTACGGAGGGCAAGGGGACACTTACCTCTGAGTTAGTCACTTGCTTGGGGAGAGCTAGTTTTATTGCCACTTATAGCTGTGGTCTAGAGCAGAGCTCTAGAAAATTGAATGGCCATGCCTAATGCACTTATCTGGTGCAAAGCAAAGACTGTAAGAAGCTTCTGGAAGGAGCCCATGAGCCATGGCCATGGGGACTGCTGCTCATTGTTTCAGATTCTCAGGCTGGGTTGGGTTCAGCTGAGCTGTGCTTAGGGGCAGGATGTTTCGTATGTTATCAATGACCCCATAGACTATTGATGTGGGCATTTTGTGTCTAAAGCTGAGCTTCCCTGAAGGTTCCTTCTAAGAGCCCTGGCCAGAGAACAAATGCTTAGATCGTCCCTTCCCAGGATTCCACATCTTTGTATAGCTTATCTCTTGTCCTGTCATCATGTTTCATGGAACAGCTGGCAGATATTTCTGGGGAAATAGTGAGACTATTGGCTGTTGAGGACAGAGAACAGGATAAAGGATGAACAAGTGGGAGCTAAGGCTCAAAGTTGCAATAGCTATGTGTTGGCATTAGCAGTCAAGAAGCCCAGATGCTAAGGGGAGTGGCCTGTAACAGGGAACAGGAAAAAATGGATGAAGAAGAGCCGTATCTGCTTCTCTTCCCCCACAGGGCACCATACAACATCAGGTGCAGCTCCACATCAGGGGCTGAGGAAGAAGAGGAACCCGTCACTTCAGATGAAAAGAAATGGAGGTAATGGTGTCCCTTATAGGCATACTCATGAGTAGGGCAGGAACCAGAATCTTAACAGACTGCTAAAAAGAATTATACTAGCCAGAATACAAAATACATAGCATGTAAGCCATGAGGACACCCACAGTGTGTGGGTACAGTTGTCATTCCAGAAGTTTATGAACCACTTGGTGCTGGTCCAGCTCAAGTGACACTTGCGAGAACCTTGAAGGGTTATAATCTAGAAAACACAGGTCCATGGAAAAGGCTCACATATAGATTCAAAGGAAGTTGAATAATATTCAGGATAAAGGGTGCTAGGAAAGGCCATGTGCATCCTGATGTCTCTGGGTGTGTTGTGTTTGCAATGGACTTTGGGTACAGGAATGGTTTCCAGACTTTCACATGCCCTTTGCTTACATAGAAGTCCAGCATCTGCCGACCCATATGTGGTTTAGAGCATGGTGACAATGCCTTACTGAAGGTCCTGGAAGGATGGCAGTTCTGTGCCAAAAGACCACAGCTGCATGAGGCCTGAAATATTGATAGTGCACGGCAGGGGAACGAATAAGAAACTCGGCAGGTGCCTCACATTGATTGACATTCTGCCACCTGTTTAGCTGTGTGCACATACGCAACTCACCAGAGCAATGGCCAGGCTCAGTCAGTCATGGAGTATATCAGCACCTACTTGCCTGATTGTGAGGCTCAATGAAACACCGTGAGAATTTTAGCATTCAGAGCAGGGCTGGGTACATGCTACATGTTCCCCAAGTTAAGGGTCCTCCCTTCAGTGTCCATGGTTCTTCTGAATAGTTCTTACAGCAGGCTTACCATCCTCAACTCCCAGGGAATACTCCTGAGTCAGCTAGTGAACATCCCAGGCTAAACTGACAGAGTGGCTAGTTTGATGTACAACAGATGCCCCCACCTTGTACCACCCTAGGTCACAAGCTGCAAGCAGTGTTCTAAGGAAAACAGCCTCACGGGAGCACTCGTATGTCCTCTCAGCAGCTAAGAAGAGCACTAGGTGAGTTGTATGGGAATGAGGCCCAGCAGGCTTGAGCATGCCTTGACCACTTCTGACTCCATGAACTGAGGTCCTTCTCCTCTGCTTGTGGCTTCAGCTTCCCTTTGACTAGTGAAAGAATAAGGGTATTTCAGTGTGACCTTCTGGAGGGGGTGGCATCTCAAATGAACTTAGAATAAAATCAGGAGGTACTGGGAATAGGAGCGGCTCTATTATGGTATCTGCCCTTGAGCTTTTTCCAACATGTGCCCATTCTGCTTCCTTTCTAGCAGTCCTACCCAGGACCTGCAAGCCCCATTTATCGCAAAAAGGTAAGTGTCACAAAAGGAAAAGCCTCAGGAGCCAGATGCTATCCAGGCAGCAAACCTCTTATCAGTAGGATATAGAGAAAAGGAAGGTTGCTATCTCTGAGCAAAGAGAGTCGTCCTCCTCAAAACAAAGCAAGAGTCCTCTTCTCCTGTCCTGCCCTATGGTCTCCTGTCATCCAGGACCAGGGCTGGAACTACCAAGGGATGCTCCATGGAAGCTGACTGTGATGTTACTGGTTTGTCTTGTAGGGTGAAAAGGGGAATGGTCCATATGCCAGACTAGTTGAGTGAGACAAGTGTCTTATTATTTGACATAGGTCAATTTCTGTAGGAGGAAAATATTGGATAGAGGATGGAGAAGAAACATGTGAAGGTGAATCACAGGGACTGGGACTTAGTTGATTTCAAAGGCCTTCCAGATAAGGTGGCAAACATGGTGAGCTGTAGGTAGCAAGTCATCGAGGCAGCAGCATTTCAAATATTCCAGACCAAGACCTAGCCAGTGCAAAGGCCCAGAGTGCAAATATGGGGCTGTTGTTGAATGATAGTAGCTGACTAGAATACAGTGAGCACTGACGGGTGAGAGAGTGCCAGCATAGACAAAGTAGCAGAGGATAATGTGTGCTTATTAGCTGTTACTAATGGAGCAACATACCACCAGCACAATGGCGTAAAACTCCAGAAATGGAGGTTAGAAATCTGAAATTGCGGTGTTGGCAGAATTAGGACAAATTATATTTGCCTCACCAGGCAGTTGTCTTCATTCACACTGACTTGTGTCTGTGTCCACATTTCCTTAGTCTCAGAAGGGCATTGCCATTAGATTCGGGGCCTATCCTAATTTAGCAGGACCTCATCTTATCCTGTTTATATCTCCTAAGAACCTATTTCCAGACACAGTTCCCTGGGTTCCAGGGAATATTCCAGGGTCAGTGTCCTTCTACTTACTCATCCTGAGCTAGGGTGGGCCAGGTTTCATCTGGACCCTGGTGAAAGCACATCTGTCAAAGACCAGGAAGCACCAACATAGCTGAGAAGACCACACTTTTCTTGCCTACAGGGTGGATGTGGTAGATGCAGATGTGCCTCCGGAGAAGAAGCAGGAGCCACCTGCTCTAGCAGAACCTGATTGTGGCTTAAGCAGGTAATCAGTCACTCACCTTAGGCTCTGAGACACTGGCCACTGCAGCAGTGGCATCCCATCGTTAAGCTTGCTTCTAGTATATGTCTCTAAGTTGGCTAAGTTCACCCTACTTAGGAGACAGACCTGTTGTCTCCAGCACATCTCACATCTGCCTTCTTTTCCAGTATGGGTAAAGATAGACCCCAACTGTCTCAAGCAGTTCGAATGGAGTATGTGCCGAGTGTGACCAGACCTTCTGGAAGCCAGGAACCCAGGTGAGTGTCAAGAACCAGCTCTGGACTATGAGCTGGTAACATGGTTTCCCACTGATGTGGCTGGCTGTGTTTGACAACCAAGGAAGTTGTAGCAGTGGGGAGATAGTGCAGGGCCATCTAAGTCCTTCTGCCTGTCTCATTTCAGGTGGGGATATGCTTTCCCCTGATTTCCAAACCCTGAGTGTTCCAGCAGATGACAAGCCCTCAGTGCTTCCTTGTACTTTGCATTGAATGGTGCTGAGTCTCAGGCTTTCCTGTTGCTGTTGTTTTCAGCCTGGATTGAGTCTTTGGTTAATGTCATGGTCTTGTAAGGGCCATATCTCCATGGCACGCTGGAAAACCCCTGAAGCCCGAATGCCCATCTAGGAGTGCCTTTATTTTCTGAGACTGGTGTAGCATCAGCTTGGAGTGAGGGACTGGCGCTACTCTTTCACAGGCCTATGGGTCAGCGGCTTGAGCTTAGCTACAGTACAAAGAAGGCTCAAAACCAGAACATATGAGGGCAAGGAAAGTGAGAAAAGTGAGTCTGGGTATCACGTTGTAGGGAAGCACCAGATGGACAATGTTCTTGGATGCTGACACAGAGGGAAAAAAGAAGCTTCTCTCCCAGAAATTCTCCAGTCTCTCATTTAGCCCTCAGCTTGAGGACCAAGGAGATCACCCATTTGCAGATCACAACCCCTAGAGCAGGGCTCCACCTAGTGGCCTCAGACCTGGAAACCCTGAGGTACTGGGGCCCCATTGCTGTCCTGCCTCCATTTATACCTTTCTCAAGATGAGCAGAGAGACAGGAGGCTAGCTCTGCCACTATGGGGGTGACTGGTTAGTAGGAGGTGTAGCCAACCTGGGTTCTCTATCACTGTGTCAATATTTTATCCAACAATAATTATATAATGAGTACTTGGGTTTTGTGAGGCCAAAGACCTTGCCCTGGGACTCCTTGGGCAAGAACTACTGACTCTGATGAAGGAGACAGATGCTAATATGGACTAGATCAACCTACAGTGGTGACTATACCGTGTACCCCAATGTCCTCACAAGGTGATGGGCCAGGCCAACAGAGCTAGGTGGGGACACAGGGCCTGTGTAGCCTTTTATTAAAACCGGGGTTTTAATTGTGCTGCTTATAGAAGAAGAAATTAGGGTGGGGACCTTGGGTCTGCTTCCATGGCTCATAATGCCGCAGTACCCTATGCTTGGGATGAGGATGGATGAAGGGGCTCCATCCATTAGGGAGCACAAAGCTCTAAGTTTCTTTCCTGGGAGAAGCAGTGGGGTGGGCAGCCAGGCGACAGGCTAGCAGAATCCAAGACTACGGAGCATGCCACTCGGGCCTCTGAACATCAGGTGGCACATCTGGAAAACAGGTGCAGATGACAATATTACCCATATCTTGAAGCTGATGTGGAGAATTAATGTGTGGAAAGTTACAAGAATAGACTCTGCCCCTAGTCAACAACAGTGACTAATAATGAGGATTTGTGAGTTGGCCAGCCCATCATTAGCAAATTTATAGCCCCTAATAGATAGTTGGCATTTAAGGATGGGGTAACCATCAGAGTGTATGTTGTTGAGGAGTAGTTAAGTCATACCTTTGTTCTACAGATCTTCCCAAAGATCTTCCTGCAAAAACAATGAAGTATCACTCTCGGAAGAATTAAAAAGAGATTCAGCTTGTGAGGATGAAATTAAGAATTGCAATCCAGACTCTGGAAGGTAACTTCATTTCAGGGAGTAGACTTTCTACAGGATACAAAGCCCATGTGCACTCAGCCAAAGAGCTTCCATGAGCCTGAGTCAACAGTCAGTAGTAGCTGAAATACAGACCAGCACTATACTATTGCTGTATATCTGCAGAGGGCAAAGTAAAGGGAGGAAGGGGGTGGCCTATACAGAGCAAAACTGTAGTATTTCCCCAGATATCAAATTGCAGATGAGAACCAAGTCCAGACCAGGCTTTTCCTCTCACAGTCCTTTGCTCCCTTTGTCTTCTCATTTGGGAGCTCTAGTCCCCTGGTGGGATCCCCAGGAATGAGGGAAGGAGGCCTTAGATAAAGGGGGAAGTTTATTTGTCTTCCTTCTCTGACTTACTAGCAGCCCGGAATTCCTTGTCTCTTGCTCTGTTGACCACTGACCATCAATGTGACTATCTTCCCCCTAGTTTCCAGATCATTTTGTTTCCATTACATTTGAATGAAAAAGAAATACTAGTTGAGAGAGTTCACTTAGGCTTAGATTGGCTCTGATCAGAGCAATTTAGGGAGGCAGCTGAAGACTTCTGCTCCCAAGTCATGAGACGTACTCTCAAGACATCTAAATGACACAAAGTCAACAAATACTTCTCTTCCATTGTTAGATCAGCTGCACAGTTGAACGATGACAATGAGGAAGCAGGAGCCACAGAGTACCCATCAGAAGACCTGGGTGGATCAGGCATTTGCACACAGAAAAGAGGGTAAGGTGCTAGTGGGACACACTTCTCTCAGATCTCTGGTGAGAGGTCAGGTTCAAGCAGCCAAACTACTTGGGTACTGCCCATGCCCCACATCCTTTGTTCTTGGATTTTTCTACTTCTTATCGGATTTACTTCCATTCCAGTCTAGCAACTCCCACACCTCCATCATTGACTCTCAAATTCCTGCAGGGCAAATACAAGCCCCTAACTCATAGCTAAAGGCCCATCCCTTAGCATGGCCTGCCCTTGGGTAGAATGAATGTGTGAGGAAGGTAGAAGAAACAAGGTAACAAGGTAATGGATGACCTGATAATGGCTGAGCTCAGGGGTCCTTTGTCTCTCATTTCTAAGCCCCTAAATCCTTGCTTGCCTCATACTCTTCCCTAATCAGTGAAACAAGCTAGGAGACAAAAATGCCCTGGCTGAGTCATGAGCCACACTTATCAGGTGATTTGAGGAGTTAACAAGGTTCTACCTATTCTCCATGTGGTTCCAAACTGGAGTCATTCCTGGAGACAAAGGCTGGTTATGCAGATTTTGGCACAAATAATAGAGGATCCTGGGAGGATGCTCTTCTGGCTGCTTTCTGAGCTGGTTGTCTGAGCAGGTTCATTTTCTCACTACCATACCTTGTTGCAAAAGGTGCCTGTAACCAGACACAGTAGGCCCCACCTCTGAAATGTCTGTTTCTGAGCATGTCTAGGAAAGGCCATTTGGGCCACGAATATAGTTCTTTTTGCCACTAATGTATCATTTTGCTGTCTGTGTAGGCATTACAGAAATCTTCCTAAAATAAACCAGGATACATTTATTTCCTCTTTCAACTTCCCAGTAGTTTCCCACTTCCTGGAAATTAAGTCCAAATCACTTTCCCTACCTCACATAGTTCTGTGTGGTACTGGAGACTCCATAGACAGTCTTTTCTTTGCCTGTACTACAGTTGTGCACACTGGTTCAGTATGCTGTTGGCTACTATAGAAAACATCTGATCCAGTATGATTGGGCCTGGCTCTGGATGGCTTTCTCTTTGACTATTCATTCACTGGAGTCATCCTTCCTGTTTGTACATCCCTTTCCTCTGAGAAAGCAAAGGGGAGCCATGGACCCCAGCCTCCACCATTCTGAGCCTCAGCAAAACTTTGTGCTTCCTTTTCCTCAGGTCTGGCATGGTGATAATTTCTTTCCTGGAGAATAAGAAGAATAACAGTGCTGGAAATGAAAAGGGGTAAGGCATGGACAGTGCTAGAAACCCAGGCAGCTAGCGCATCTATCAGGCTTTGGATAAGAAGATGAAGCCAACTTATCTGTGAACTAGCCTGAAATATATGGAGAGACAGATTTAGCTGAAATATTTTGGCCCTATCTGTGACAGGAAGCTTTCCATTGCTTCCAATGAAAAAGCACTCTAATCAAGAAATGTCCTTTCCTTCAACTGCTGGGGTGGCCCTTTCCTTTTGCTCCAGACAATGAAGCTGTGATTCGGCTTTCCAGAAACTCTCATCTTTTGAATAACAAATCAGTACTTATAGCAGAAGGGATCTTTGGGATAGCTCACTGGATATTGGTTTTGAAAGTATATACTGAGATAGAAATTGAAGCCATTTAAGCAATGACAATAGAACCAAGGACATAGAAGTAGAAGTAGACACAATTTATTAAGAAAGAGAAGCACATTCCTGAGAATGGACGTGTGAGACTCAGGGGATGGCTCAGCTGGTAAAGCACTTGTGCTGCAAGCAGAAAGACGTGTTTCAATCACCAGAACTCACATGAGAAGCTTGACATGCCAGCAATGGGGAAGTGGAGACAGGAGGATCTCTGGGTCTTGCTGGCTCACGAGTCTAGCTTAATTGGTGAGTTCCAGGCCAGTGGGAAGCCCTGTCTCAAAGGAGGTGGATGGTGTAACTGAAAGTTAAGATATGAGAAAGAAAGAAAGAGAGAGAGAGAGAGAGAGAGAGAGGAAGAGAGGAGAGAGAATGGAAGTGGACCAGATCTGGGAACATCCTGAAGTTCAAAAGATTTTTCTCATTTGTGCTGTTTTATTAGATGTAGCCTGTGATGTATGTGTGAAATCATTGGTTTCTCTGCCATGTTAAGTTTGATGTTTTTCTCCACGATCCATTCTTCTGCTATAGCCTTGTACTCTGTTTCCATGGTACCTTTCAGGTTTATACCTAGTTTGTATGAAGAGCAAAGGCTTGAAACCCAGGTCCTCATATCTTCTTGGAAGGATAGTGCTGTGAAGATAACAACTATGGTCCTATGAGAGATATTGGGAAGGGGGAATACTTGTTAAAGGGATTGTGGAGGTAGTTCAAGTGAGCAAAGAGAAAGAATCAACTCTAGAAAGAAGCTGAAGCTACACAACTGCAAACCCAATAACCCTGTGGAGGAAATGTGCCTAGCATGTTCCAAAACATAGCTGGTGACTAATGAGTGAGAGGGTGACAGACTTTATCGATCAGATTTTAATGCTAAGAAGAGACTGCTGTGGTTAATGGGCTTAAAGGTGAATGGGTGTTTATATGTCCACATTACAACTACAATTGCCTTTTACTTTAAATAATATGCTTGGAGGTAGTGTGGACAATGCCTCTTTACCAGGTCTTGCTATGCACCATTTCTTAAATTGCACTAACAACAGTTAGCACTCACTGAAAATATTAGCTAATGATAGTTACACTATGTTGTCTTTATGTGTTTTAAAGTTATCCCAGTAACAGTGACATGAGTAAATGGGGAAGCAAATAGAAAGGTTAAGTGACATATCCAAAACCATACTTGTGATATAGCTGAGTACTAATAAAAGCTTTATAGAAACCTTACGAGACATTTCAGCAAGCTAGTTGATAAACTTTGTTTGGAGCCTAATGTCAGGACAGGCTGGTATATTTGATCTGGTATTATCATTCCTGAAACCAAGAAAGATTTCTGATTTTGCAATTTGACAGGGAAAAAAAACTTAGGTCCACTCATGTGATGAGCAGAACTAGGAATAAAGTCTAAATCTGGCCAGTTGTAGAGCCCAAGTTCCAAGAAGTACATTCCTTTGATGTTTACCAGTTTGAAAAATTAATGTAAATATTCATAATGACAGAATTTCATAACTCCGGCTGCTTTTAAAATTTTTATGTGAAAGGCTACATGTATGTTTGCACAACCTGCATGCAGTATCAGTGGAGGTCAGAAGAGGGCGATAAATCCCTGGAGACTGGAGTTACATATGGTTTGGAGCTGCGTGTGGGTGCTGGGAATTGAACTCAGGGCCTCTGGAAAGACTATACAGTGCTCTTAACTGCTGAACCACTTCCGAGCTCCTGCCTGCAGCAGTATTAATAACAAAGCGCTTCCCGAGATTTTTTTGTTTAATTTCCTGAGCATATGTCTCCAGTATTTTTCTTAAGCTCTCCAATTTCCTCTCCAGTGTACACTTAGAGCAAATCTTAAGGGTAGCAGTTCTTTAGAGGTTTGCACTGCCCACCCCCAACCCTCCTATGTCATCTTGTAATAATTGGAGATATTTTTGGATGCCACAACCAAGGGTGGCTTATAAAGGATTGGGATTATGGATGCTAGAGTCTGATTCTTCTCAACAATATATTAGCTTTATCAAATCAAAAATGTTACATAGTTTTAAGGTTTACAAGCTCTCCTCTACTACCATCATTTCGGGTACACACATTAATGATGTGAACCCATAGGTCCAATCAGCCTGCTGCAGACGTGCACTGCGGATACAGAAAGCATACGCCTGTGCCTATTCCAACTAGACTGCAGCATGCTTTAGTTGCGCAGGTCTACAATTTGATGCATTGCCTGCGGCTGTGCGCATGCGTATGACGCTCTGGGCGTCGGTATTTAGGCCAGCATTTGGGTATGAATACACCTACTCGCGCAGCCATTTCCTGCAGCTGAAACTTCAGCCTGCTGTGCTGGCTGGGAAATGAGACAGTCGAAAGGCAAAATGGCTGCCCCGAGACTGACGTCAACGGGGCTTCCGAGGCAATTTCCACAACGGCCGCAAGATGGCGCTGAAGGATCATAAATGATCCTGGCTTTGGATCCCTGTTGCCCATCCCCCTACCCTCACCCCCACCCCCACCCCACCAATCTCAGGGGAACAGCTGACAACAGGGGCCAACAAGTTTTAAAAAGTGCAGCCTACAGCTGCTGGAGAAAGTGATTGATTGTGTTTTCCTTTCTTTGGCGATGGATGGGCAGTAGTGTTGTGGCTTTCTCTACAAGAAGAGTGACATTGGAGCTGGGTTTGAAAGCTAAGGCGAATTTTCCCCAATAGATGCACTAGAGAAGGCATTTCAGGTTGAGGAAACCAGAGGTCTGGTAAAGGGTAGGGTGTATGCTGAATGGAAAGTCAGGGTGACTACAGGGAATGAAAGCTAATTTGGTAGCCTTCCAGGAAGCATGGAGAGAGGGCTAGGCAAGCCTTGCTCCTGAGGACCCAAAAGGCCAACCAAATGATTGTCATGTAGGAGACACCTTGAGAAGATGAGTTGGGGGGGGGGGTGTCATGCCAGGGAGATGTACAACACACAAGGCAGGAGACCTGTACAAAGGTTGTGGCTCAGGATGAGGGAAAGATGACTTTAATGATGGACCCTGGAAGGAGCTAAGTGAGAATGAGGAAGTTAGGGGAGTTGCTGTACAGATGTGAGTGGGCTGGAGTTGTGTAAAGGTATGAGTTCTGTCTGGAGTGCTCAAGAACAAATCTCTGCTTTCTTTCTCCCATCAAAAGCCCCATGCCAGTTGTCTAGCTAGCTGTTGCTGTCAGCTACCTGGGAAAATCCATGTGGTTTAGGGATGTAAAGGGAGCCTCCCTTTTGGTTCCAAAGTTGTAGGCACCAAACCTTCATCAATAGGCATGTATCTCCATTTCTGCTTTCTTTTTCAACTCAAATTGAGAAAAAAAAAAAAAAAAAAAAAAAAAAAAAAAAACAGGTACTCATGGGTGCCCTCTCTCCTAAAATCCTAAGCAAGCACATGGAAGGGACATTAATTGCTTCTTTCCTTGCTGTGACAGAGCACCTGATTCAAAGCTTGAGAGAGGCAGTCCATCATGGCATCAGAGCATGAGATGGCTGGTCACCAGTGCGATTGCCACTTTGAGACTGCCTGTTTATAAGACTTAGGTGGCTTCTTGGCTCTTGAGATTGGTTCCCCAATGCCCTTGGGAAGTCACATCCAGACCCCAGAGACACAGCAATGGTCAGGCCTCTGCTGCTCTCAGCATAATATATACAATGTTCATTCTTTCTCAGTACTCCAGATGCATGTGAGGATAAAAATGCAGCGCCCAAGATCAGCAAGGCCTGCCAGGAGACACTTGAGGCCCCTCAGGGAGGCCAAGGAGACCAAACCATGGCTAATCAACAACCTGCAGATCCCAGTACCCCAGAGCCACAGAGCAGCCCCAGCGGATGTGAGCAGCAAATCAAATTGGATGATAGTACCAAAAAGTAAGGTGTCAGGGGCCACAACACAGGCCTGTTTCTTTTTGCATTCGTGGGATTGTAAGGTTTCAGAAAGGTAGAGCCGGGTATGAATGAGACTTAGTGCAATAATTATAGGCTGCCAGGTTTTGAGTTCTCTTACCACCACTAGGATGGCCAGAGTCACCTCCATAGTGCTGATCTAGGAGTATGCAGTGCTTGAAATAAACTGACAGCAGAAGTTTGAGGAAACTAGGGTCAGAGATGTTCTGTGAGAGGCTGAAAGACCAAGGCAGAACACATTAGGAAGTGAACAGTGTTTCCTCCTGCACTTTCTATGAGCAATTCAGGTCTTCCAGAGTGGGAGTTTTCTGACCTCAGAAGAGCAGAGCCTGGCCACACCAAGGTTGCTTATACACTATTTTTTTACATTGGAAAATTAAGGTTTTTTTTTTTTTTTTATCCAAAGTCTAGTATGACTTTTCTCTATCCTGGACTACTCTGTCAATTATCACTTACAATGTGAGCTTAGGGGCTGTTGCATGGCATAGAGGACAAGAGAAAATGACATGATTTGATGGCATTCTCCATATTCCTACAAAGTCACTTTCATTTCCAGTTCTGTGATGGAACTTTGTGAACTCCACATCCATCCATTATGGGTTCCTTAGAAGCTGCCACTGGCTACTGCCTTAGCAGGGTGTGTGGGAGAGGCTGACTTGATTTTGACCTTAATAGGAATTAGAGCCCAGAGCCTGCACTGCACACCAGGATGTGCATACTTTTTTTTCTGTTTGTGCTATGACAGAGAGTGCCTCAGGCAAAGTGTTGTTCACAAGGAAGGTCTGTAGCAGCTGGGAAAAACACATGCAAACAAAGAAGAGGAAAGAGGGCCTGAAGGATGGGCCCTGTGGTTGATGGGGATAGAGTAAGGTGAACAGGAGGTAGGACGTGGGGACTTGTAGGTTAGGGAGAGGAAATCATTGGGAAGTTAAATGGTATGTTTCCTTATCACTGGGGATGAAGAACTTTGGAGGCTTCTTGGTGTTTACATTGCAGGTACTAGGGAGTCTCCTTGATTTTTTTTTTTTTTAACTTTGTCCCTTTACTGCTGCCATCTGCTGGTGTGTGTGGTGTGCATGTGTTTGCATGTGTAGGCACATAGTGGGTGCAGATAGATGCACATACATGGGTCCAAATTGGCGTCAGATATCTTTGATTTTTTTTTTAATTGAGGCAGGGTCTCTTGCTCAACGTGGAGCTTACCAAGTCCTATTAGTATAGCTAGCCCCCTTGACCGGGGTTCCCCTATTTCCACCTCCCATCCTACCTGGATTTTCTCATCTGTATAGATACAGAGGCTCCATTCAGTGATCTCTGAGAAACATTCAAGAGCAATAACTAAGATTTGCAGCTATGGGGGCAGTGGTGGTGCACACCTTTAATCCCAGCACTTGGGAGGTAGAGGTAGGAGGATCTCTGTGGGTTCAAGGCCAGCCTCGTCTACAGAGCTAAACAGAGAAACCCTGTCTTGGGGAGAGAAAGAGGGAGAGAGAGAGAGAGAGAGAAAGGGGAGAGAGAGGGAGAGAGAGGGGAGAGAGAGAGGGGAGAGAGAGAGGGGAGAGAGAGAGGGGAGAGATTTGCAGCTACTGTTCCTAAAACACTGACATGCTTTCAAAGGTCTTGAAGTGGCAAACTTGAGGTTAGTCCATAAAGCACTATTTAACTCACAAAGTAGAGACATGCTCACTCTTCTCCATTTCTTTCAGGTTGAAAAGCCCTTCAAGCTGCTCGGTCACTGTTAATGTCACTGCTGCCTATGAAGAGACTCACTTACATATTCCAGCCACCTCAAGTGAACTGGACTCCAGCTCAACTATGTAAGAAGGGGGCATCCAGTGATATTGTTGGGCATGGAGGTTACCTGAAACCTCTTTGCAAGTAAAGGATGCAGCTTCTATTGTGTTTTGCTTTCTCTGCGATGTTTCCTCTGACTCCTTGCATTCCAGTAGCAAATGGGCAGATAAAGGTCTTAGTTCCTCAAGTATAAATCTTACTGCCCCAAGCCTATTGGTAGGATTGGACCTGGTCCTATAGCATGCTTTTCTTGTCCTCATCTCAACAAGAAGATAAGGTGGAACATACAGGAAATTTGCAGATGCAACCAGCAGCAGGGCTTTGCAATTTGTAGGGCCTTGCTAGCATCCCAAGCATGTCTCCCAGGACCCATGAAAGCCATGGAGGCCAAGCCATTCTCTCTGTGTGTCTCTGTCTCTGCCCCTGTCTCATATATATTCCTTTAGCCATACTATTGAATACCTTATAGCTTACAAGAAGGGGCACCATTCTAGGGAGCCTGAAGAATGAGAGGTATGGATTGAGATACATGGAATTGAGGGTCAACAATGAGATTACACTGAGCCAGTAGAGTAGCAAGTTTCCAAAGTTTGCAAAGGCTTTCCAAAAGTATAAAGTAAGGTGGCTTGAAGGGCCCTGGAACATGATTGGTAAGGGAATGTGAAGTAGCAGGAAAATGCTACAGGTAAGGCGCTGAGCAGGAAAAGCCAGCTGTCCGTCATTCAGCCACTGATAACATTCTGATTGTGGGTAGAATCCGGGAAAGACTCAGCCACAGAAGAGGGAAAGGAAACTGGAGGGGCCGAAGCACACAAGTATGGGAGAGGGTTGGGGCTCGAGGCTTCCATGGAGGAAGGCATGCTAACATTGATTTCAGGAAGCCATCTTTCACATCTTAGACCAAACACAGAATGAATTGAGGAGCAAAGATTTGAGCCCATATATACAATGGCATCAATAGCCTGGCATCTGTCTGCGGCTACCCTTGCAGCCTGGCTTGTGGAACCCGCTACCCCTCTACCCTAGGCCTTCCTTCGCATGAGCTTCTGCATTGTCATCAAACTGGGCAGGGGGCACAGCCTGCTGCGGGCCCCTGGAATCTTCTAGTACACGTCCTATTGTGCTGTGCTCCTTCTACAGCAGAGGGATTCTCTTCGTGAAGGAATACATGAATGCCAGTGAAGTGTCTTCTGGGAAGCCAGTGTCTTCACACTATGGCGGGTGAGAACAAGTTTCAGCTACTTTGTTGTCACAGCATGTACAAGGCCCAGTGCTGACTTTATCCCTGCTTCCCACTCAGGACTCAGTAGGGAGTGGCCGCTGGGTAATCAGTGAATGAAGGCACACATGCCTGCTAATGAAAGATTGATACGTCTCCAGGGTTTCTGTGTAGTGAGGTGGCTAGAAAGTCCCTTTAGTCTCCGTTTTCCCTTTCGTGCTAGATGGCTTCACATACAGACACCTTTCTCACTGCCCACCGTGTCTGTTCACTGATGACATGTCTTTTCAGTGCTGTACCACTTACCCACACGCCAGCTTGTATCAAGGTGATATAAAACTAGCCACCACGATTGACCCTTTATCAGCTTGACACACAAACACATCACTATTAAGCCATAACCTTTCCTTTATTATTCATCCTCAAGATCACATGTAATATCTATATTATAAACATTCTATAATTTAAACGTCCCAAAGTCTTTAAAAATTCAGTGTTTTCTAAAATTGAAATTTAAAAAACCCAATGTCTCAATTGTGGGTGCCTAAAAAAATGTTTTCTACTTCAATAGGGAAGAACCAAGGCATAGTCACAATCAAATCAAAGTAAAACCAAACTCCAACTGTTAACTCAGTGTCCAATGTCTGGAACCCACTCCCCATCTTCTGGCCACTTCTCCAGTCCTACACTCTGCAGCACACACAGCTGTCTTCTCTAGGCTCTGGCTGGCTCCATGCTAGTGCTGCTGCTCTTCTTGGCACTTGCATCTTCCCATGGTACCTGCATCTTCAAAATGCTGGGGTCTTCTGCTGCAAGTAAGCTGCACTTCACCAGTAGCCTTCCTGGGCTTTCTTCAGGGATTGTAGTCCCGCCACACAGTGCCAAGCCACAGCTGTTCTCCATGACCTACCCCTGCATGCCTTCAAATCCAGTACCACCTGGGTTGCTGTTACACTACCAAGTTCAGCTGCCAACCCAAGATGCAGCTTTGGCTGCCTCTGGAACACAGCTTCCGTGTGCTGATTCTTAGCAAACATGTCCCCCAAGATTTCACCATGATGATGTTGGTCTCTCGATCAGAGCTGATTTCTGACCAACATCGAGAATCTCAGCAAAAGCAGTTTTACTTTCATGGTTCTGATCTCTTGTTAATCACAGATAATATTCCAGCCCCAGCTAACCAGAACCACAGATTTTTAACTCAGAATATGCAAAAGCCCTTATATGAGTCCTTAAGGGACTCTCTCTAACTTCCTTCTGGAACTTCACAAGCCAGTCCTCCATCATCTGCATTGCTGTCAGCATTTTTAATTTCCACAGAACAGCTCACCAAGCTTTGAACAGTGAGTAGCTTTTCTAACTGAGAGTTGCAAAGCCATTCCACAATCTTCCCCCAAACATGGTCAGGTCTATCACAGCCAATACCCCACTATTCTGGTACCAATTTCTGCCCTAGTTAGGATTACTGTTGCTGTGATGAAACAATCAAGTTGGGGAGGAAAGGGTTTATTTGCTTACACTTCTGCATTACTCTTCACTGAAGGAAGTCAGGACAGGAACTCACACAGGGCAGGAGCTGATGCAGAGGCCATGGAGGGTGGTGCTTACTGGCTTGCTCCTCATACCTTGCTCAGCCTGATTTTTTATAGAACCCAGGACCACCAGCCCACAGGTGGGCCCTCCCCCATCAACCACTAATTAAAATGTCCTACAGGTTTTTCTACAGCTTGATCTTATGGATGTATTTTGTTAATTGAAGTTCCCATTTCTCAAATGATTGTAGCTTGTGTCAACTTGATATAAAACTAGCCAGTACATGGGCTTCTGGAAGTCCCCATAGTAAGCCATACATATCCATTCTGCCTTTTTTCCCTGCTGGTCAAAAAACTGAGGGTCCCAGTGGCTGATGATGTTCTGTCTTCTCCATTACACTCCCTGCAGTACCAGCAACATTGAGGACTCCTTGGAGAAGAAACCCCCACATGAAGGTACTCCACGATCTGAGAGGTATGCCTGCTTTCTTTACAGGTCTCCCAGTTACGTGGAGAGAGAGCAAGAGTGCTAAGGGCGAGCTCTTCATGGGTCTTTTCCCTGCTGCTTTGAAGCTTTTGATCTGTTTGCAAATCAGCCACACAGTGGGACACTGCATAAGGTGGTACTATCCTAATCAGGATGCCACATTTGCATCAGTTAAAGCCTTAAAACCCAGCTGTGGCATAGACACAAAAGGCTTCTTAGGAAGGGAAATTCAGGGTCTGAAAGAAAGCCCAAGGAGGCTCTTGACAGCAGGATAAATCCCACTGATTCATTTATTTAAATTGCACATCTGACTAGATACCACAAGAAAACACAACTACACAAGAGATTGTTGTGTAGGGAAAACTGTTTTATCGTTAGGAAGGATGCACAGTGGCCTGGCACTGTGGATCAAAAGGAGCATAAGACAGGGAGTGGGTAACAGCAATGGTATGATGGGCTACTTTATTGGAATAGGAAAGAAAATAGTCTGCATTAGAGAGTGGATCTGTAATGTGGGATACGGGTAGGAGAGGATGAAGTCATAGTGAGTTACTGGCAGAGCCAGTTAAGATGAAGCAAATACTACCAGTGTGCTCCTCTTCCCCCACACAAACAAGTTCAGGGGCTTGTAAACAGACAAGGAGGTACAGATGTCCTCTCCATTATATCTGAAGAAAGATCCAGATAACCAAATCTCAAAAATTACATATCATATGGTAAGTCAATCATCAGGTGATTTTATAGTCTGGTTTCTGCTATACCACCCATACTGGGCTCTCACTGGGGCTCCTCTTAGATATCCTGTTGTCCTGTGTCATAGATATCCTGCTGTTTTGGATCTATAGGTTCCCCCCTTTCACATGTCCCAACAGTTCATAAATGAGGTGGGTGCTGGAGTGGGACAACTTATAACCCTGGTTCTTGGCCTGGGTGGTAGCTGGATTGGTCAGCCCACCAGCTTTCCTTCATCATCACTAGGCACATGAGTTCTCCAGCAGTGCCTAGACTAGCTCACCCAATGCAGCCTGTGGTGTGTGTGTGTGTGTTCGTGGGTGCATGGGCGTGTACATGAGTGTGTGTGTGTGTGTGTGTGTGTGTGTGTGCGCGCGCGTGCGTGTATATACTCTCCTGCTCTCATACCATGAAGGCTAGTTCATCTGCGAACCTGACAACAGGGTCAGCTCAAATATACTGCCCAGATGGGATGCAGAGCTTGGTCTCCTATGTACTATAGCTGATCTAGGGCAGGGGTTGTTTTCCCACTCCCATGACCCCAAGGTCAGCGCCAGCTTTCTCTCCTGCCACAGGTAGCAAGGGGCAGAGGAGGGAGGCCATCTTTTCCTCACCCATGCCACCACATAGCAGACAAGAGGGGCAAGGTCAGCTCTTCAGCTCTCCTCCACACAGGGTTGGGTCACCTATGCCCCTGACCACAGGGTTAGCTCCAGTGTGCTTCTCAGGCGAGGTGCATGTCTATGGTGAAGGATAGGGCCATCTTTCCGGGAGTACAGGGATGAGCTCTCCCCTGATCTTAAAATCTTACCATATGTCATATTGCTCCACTGAAGACAAAGCTTCTAACACATAAATCCTTGGGGGACACACTCAAACCACATATAAATCACAGATAGCAAATGGGTGAGATGCCTGAAAATTATAAGAGCAAGTGATGTGTATCAATTTCCAGTAGCATGACAGATCAAATACCCTGGATCTCTTGTTCTCCATTGTTCCAAAAACTAAATCCAGAATCTATCATTACTGATTAATCACTGGACTTGGTTAAAGGACAGGGGTTCTCTCCCAGGACAGCGTGAGCATCTGAGACCTGTCTCAAACCGTCATTGTCCATGGCAGTGCTAGTGATACTCTGGCTTCTGTTGGAATCAGGTCTATATCTCTGCAAGACAGAACTTCTAACATTAGCGTGTAGGATCAGAGAAAAGAGCCTCTTTCAGTAGTTCCTCTTAGGGGAAGACAAGTAAGGAGTATCAGAGATGATTATCAGAAATAAAAGGAACCCTAAAACAAAGGAGATAACAGATCCAGAAGTCAGTATCTTCTGGGAATTTAGGATGGGTTCTGAACAGGCTATACAATCAGACTAAAGATAGTAACTGGGAGAAACGGTGGGCACCATAGTCCCAGGCATGCAGAAGAGGGCTGACAATACTGGTTTGGGAGAATACTTCCAAGTTTGAGAACCAGTTTGTCATAGATACAGTATACAGATTTGGCTCCCACAGAACACAATGCAAAGCTGGCAAACTTAGGTCTCTCTGCCTCAAACAAGATCTGCTGCATCATATCAGAAGACTGGGTACCAGCCTGAGTGCTTGGATCTTCTTTCTGTCTTCTAGAGCATCTGAAGGGGTCTGTACTTACTGCAGCCGTGAGATCAGAGACTGTCCAAAGATTACCCTTGAACATCTGGGCATCTGCTGCCATGAGTACTGCTTTAAGGTAAGAAAGAGATGTGAATATTTTGCAGAATACAGAACTGATGAGGGAGTATGGAAATGTACATGAGACTGAATTTCTGCACATATCTGTGAACAATCTTAGAGGCTCACCAGAACACTGAGATGAATAGAGGAATGCTGGCAGTTCCACATGAATAGTAACATAATGGAGGCAAAAAGCGCATTCATAATGGAGGCAAAAAGGGCATTCTGGGCAGAGATTATTTCTCATAAAGGGCCAGTAGTGCAAAGGCCCCAACACAGAAACATGGCTTATTCTAACTGGCATTGAATTAAATTTTCCTAGGGGATGTGTGAACAGATGTTCTTTCACCCAGTATACAGCACTAAGAAAAGATGAAAGAAATTATTTCACTCATGTACTTTGGTGAAACAGTGAGTTTAATCAGAGTTAATTACAGAGGCAGAGGTGAGGGTTTGCCTATAGGAACATGGTAACTTACGACATAGCAATACCACCAAAGAAAAGTACCCTCCCCATAGCAGCCAGTAACTGCTTAGCCACTTAGTGATTTACTAAAGTGATGGCAGTTGTTTAACCACTGAGCCTATGACTTCCTTGGCAACACAGATTTTAATTTTCTTGAACTAGATATGAATTTCCCCCTGCAAAGCAGTCCTTAAGTCCAATCAGAAAGTTGGTTCTATCAACAACCACATTTTAGTAAAAGTAGCCTTTATAAATGGTGTACCTAGTTGTAAAAAATCAAGGTAGAATATTTTTATCCCTATCTCTTTAGGATATGAGAAAAGCTTTATAAAAAAATCAAAAATAGGAAGTTTGTCATGTAGACATGAAGTAATATCTTTTTCTCTTTTAATGAACTAAATAGCTGAGGGAGAGCAGCTACATTCACTGATGAAAATGTTTCCTCAATGTTACTTTATATTTTATTTTGTGCATAAAAATTATAGAAGTCAGCCCCTTCTTTAGAACATCATACGGGATGGGAGCCACCTGAGGTCCCCCATCTAAGCTGTTAGCTTAACAGTAGAGAGACAGTCAGGAAAGAACGCACTTTAAAGACTTGAGATTAAGAGTGCATATACAAGTAGTTATTGCTAATGTGCTGCTTTGGGGAAGTACTTCTCCATTTTGCCTTGGAAGTAGAACACTGAGGACAGAAGGGGGGATCGGGTCTTAAGATATCTCCTGGAAAAGACACCTACTATTCCATCTGATCCAGAAACTGGGTATGGATATGTCAAGGAAATTTCTGTATTTTTGTGATAGTGGCATTTATCAAATTCTAAGTAGGTCTCTGGCCAGAAAAACAGAACCAAAGGAACCTAAGGTAACATACAAGCCCTGCTTACAAGTAACAGACAGAAGAAACTCACCAATCATACTGCAAGATGGATTTCTCTGCATGAGTTCCCCAAACTTTAGCAGTGAGGAAATATGGCTCCACATGATCATCTGCATCATCTTCGGAGACTTTAGGGTTGCTGCTAGGAGCTGACATTTCTGTTTATCACAGTAAGGTTTACCATTAAACATTAAAATGCCATATTCAGCAGATCTCTGAAGAGTTTGAGGACCATTGTCTACTAACCATACTTGATTAAAAAAAACAACAACTTATTTTTAGTTACTTGCTTTAGGCTTAACCTTAAAAACATATACAGGAGGCTAAATAAAGCATATACTTGTAAACGAATTACATTTTCCTTAGCATGACTAACAGCATAGTTCTGACCATTAACTTGCATGTATTAATTCACTTTAACAGTTTATAATAAGTTAGTACCTTTTATAAAATTAGGATTTTAGGATTTTATAGCTTTATCCCTGTTAAGTTTGAGCCTTAACAATGTGAGTTGAAGATTCAATTGAAGAACTTCTAGCATCAAAATAAAAGTTTAAGCCATAAATGCAGTAAATTTTAAACCATAAATACAGTCCATAAGGAGACTGGGAACTTTCCTGGTTTTTTTATAGTGCATAATTACAGAATATCAGTTTTTTGTATTATTCAGTTTAGCCAAATGGCTAAAGCTTAACAAAGTTAACAAAGACAATGAAGCTACACATATATCTGTAAGTCAGTTACTGTTACCTTAGTAGACTTTAGGAATTTATAAAGCTTATTTATCAAACATATGTTGTTCCTTATCTAAGATTTTTCAGAAGTCTTGTATTGAAAACAGCAAAGACATAAGTAGTTAGAAATACATCTCTAAGTCAGTTTCTATTACTGTGAATAGACCTTTATAACCTTAGGAATTGATCATCATATGAAAATCTATCCTAATCCAAAATACTTTGGAGACCTATTGTTGCCTTAGTCTAAAAGAAAATGCAGCGATAAGCATAGGGCTCAGTGGGCTAAGAAGTTTTATAATTGGTGCTTTGGTTGATTTACACCACATGGTCATTTTAATCAAGATGGTGGTAAAGTCACATGGCATATACTCTTTTTTTTTTAATTTTAGTAAAGACAGCTACCAGCCATGTGGTCGCTATTTAAAAATATCTATTTTCTAGTAGACCTTTTTAAAACAAGAGTTGAATAGTAAATTGTAGTAAATTAAGATTAATAATACATAGATGTTTAACTATAAGCCCTTTGTTATGTTTTAAGCTAAAGTTTGTTACAGATTTTTAAATTGTTTTTTAATTTAAATTAAACACAATCTTATTTTACATGCCCATCGCAATTCCCTCTCCCTCCCATCCTACTACCCCTCTAACCATCTCCCCATGCCACCCCCATCCATTCCTGAGAGAGGGGGAGGCCTCCCATGCGCGATCATCAAAGCCTTGTTAGAGATATTTTTAACCAATGAACTTATGCCTGACATAGTTTAAAGCATAGCTTTAAGAGATTTTCTTTGAGAGTAGAAAGCAAAGAAATAGTAGAGATAGAGGGTTTTTTGTTTTATTTTATTTTGTTTTTGATTTTTCAAGAAAGGGTTTCTCTGCATAGCCTGTCCTGAAACTCAATTTGTAGACCAGACTGGCCTTGAACTCAAAGATCCATCTGCCTCTGCTTCCCAAATGCTGACATTATGAGCCCTGTGCTACCACTGCCCAGCTGAGATAGAAGATTTTTTAAGATTGAAAAGTTTTTAACCTTAGAGATGAGAGAGATTTGGGTGTGTAGAGCAGAGCAAGTTTCGGTATAAGAGATTTGGGGATCATTTGTTCAGTGACAGAAGTTGTTACCACATGAGAGAATTTGAAACTCTAGTGTGCCAATCTTTGGCCACTGATTGAGCTATATACTGAGGCTAAGCCTTTTGCAGTAAGATAGCAAGACTTTAATAAAATCTGTGAGTCAAAGGAGGAAGAGGGAAAGGGTCATATAAGGCCCAAGACGATGTAAGGAAACAGGAGGCCCAGGATGGTAAAAGGAGAGATGGAGCTGGTAGCTCCCAGGGGGAGGAGTCAAGCAAAGGATTGTAGGCCCAGAAGGGCTTAAGGAAGTTGTGGGACTGAGGTTCCTAGGGGGATCAGAGGAATATCCAGGAAGGAGCTGAGAACAAAAGGAGCAAGGGGGTTAAATGTAGTGGTGAAATTCTCTGGAATTTCAATCCAGAGAAATACCCAAGCGAAATGAGACTTGTCAGAGAGAAATGTCCCAAATCACAGAAAGGTGACACTTTCTACATGATATGGACCCAGTAGGGCAAGGGGAGTGTCCTGGAACACCAATGTGGCTTTTGTAGTAAAAGTAGACAAAGCAGGGAACTCCAGGATAACACGTTTGCAGTAGAAGAAGAAAGACTTGCTTAAAGAATGGAAAGGGGAAAACTGCTGAAGACTTGGACTGAGAGATGCCCACATAGGTGTAGCAGGCCAGAGAGAAGGAGAGATGCCCAGGTGAAAGGTACCCCAGGAGGGCATAGGAGAGTCCAGGATCCAGAGAAACCAAGAGTTGTGTAAGTGCCCAGGAGGTTTAGCACGCTGAAGAAGCTAGAGAGAAACTTACCAAGTAGAGGAGGAAAGACTAATGATTAGAGCGGTGAAGGGAAGATGCAGTGGACTCTAGCATTTAGACTCGAATTTTGTAGGTGTAAGAAGGCATCAGACTTTTAATTGATTAAAATAAGCCAAGCTAAGATGATACATGTTCTTCAGTTGAGCAGAGTTTTACCTATAGTTAGGTGTTTTTCTTTGTTTTGTTTTTATTTTGGTTTTACTTTTGCAAACTGAATCAAGGCATTAGTCAAACATAAAACCGCCCGGAGTGTGAAATACTCATTTCTTTTTCTCCAAACACAGAACTCCATACATCAAGAAACTTTGCATTGGTGGAAATATTAAATATGCAGTTATAGCAAAACTGGGAAAATGTCAGCTATAGGTCTTAGATGACACTCTCAGCCTTTGATTGGTGGAAGACTGGAGTTTTGTTAACTTGCTAGACTCCAGAAGGGTTTTTATCTGTTGGGATGTTAGGTCTTTTAGTGAGAGAGTGATAAGGGGCAAGGAACTGCTATGTAGGCCAAAGAAAACCCAAGATAATTGTAATTAGGCTTTAAGCCTGTAACATTCCAGCCTTTCCACATCATTAATGTTCTGATCAGTCAATCAGCCTTTGCAGACATAGCTTCTGTCTAGGAATTCTCATTCACATATCTATCAAAGTAAGACAATTTGCTGAGGAAGTTGATCATGGTTGATGGCAATATGGTGACTAGAATGCTCAGAATTGGTAGCTTGTGACATTCAAGACAACCCCAAAGTTTACTTTGTGAGGGAGAAGGAATGGTAGTTACAGGTGAGGGTTAGTTTCAAAGTAGCAAACACACAGCAACTGCAATGTTTACATGTGATTGCTACATAGGGAGAAGCACTGTCAGACAAGTTCTAAGCTGGCCTAAGTAGGAATCACATACTGTGTGACAAAGTTGGAGTTGTGGCAAAAAGCTGCTGTGCAGAATGACCACGAGTTGTAGCCCATGGGCCTTAAGTGCAGGGTTGGAGACGCATTCCATTTGTTTGTTTCTTTGTTTGTTGTGTGGTGTATGTATGTGTAGGTGTTCATATGTCTTTAGTGCCATGGCATTTTCATGGGGATCAGAGGACAGTTTGGGTGTTGGGCCTCACTTTCTACCTAGCTTGAAATGGTCTCTTGTCTGCTATTGTATGCCAGTGTAACAGGCCTATGAGTTTCCAGCAAGTCACCTTTCTTCCTCCCATAACAGTGTGAAATTACAGATGCATGCTACTACATCCAGATTTATGTGGGTTCTAAGGGTCCAAACTCAGGTCCTGATGCTTACATGGAGCCCTCTCTAGTCCAGCATTATTTTCTTGAGGTCACAGAGTTACTCAGCATTGACAGTAATCTGCTCAATTTCAGTCTCTTCTAATCTGATAAGAAAATGGAGGTTGGGAAAGTTTCAGTCAAGATTTTAACCTGGGCTAAATTGTGAAACTGCCACCCCTAACCAGGATGCTTGTGATCCGTGTGTATGTGTGTGTGTGTGTGTGTGTGTGTGTGTGTGTGTGTGTGTGTGTGTGTGTGTGTGTGTGTTGGCAGATATATGGCTGTGGAGGTCAGACACTGGATGCCTTCCTCAGTTTTGAGAGCAGGAACAGGGTCTCTCAGTGAACTTGGAGTGGTCAGAGCCCCAGGAATCCTCCTGTGTCTGCCACCCAGGCATTGGGATTACAGGTTTGTGCATCTGCACCCATATTTTATATGAGTTCTGGAGATCCTGGAGATCAAATCCACAGCAAGTGCTTTACTGACTGAGCCTTCTCCCCTGTCCCTAACCAGCTTTTGTGTGTGTGTGTGTGTGTGTGTGTGTGTGTGTGTAGAGAGAGAGAGAGAGAGAGAGAGAGAGAGAGAGAGAGAGAGAGACAGGAGAGAGAGAATCTTGTTTTCTAGATCAGGGTTTGTATCTATTTGCAATGTCTTGTTATCTACTTGAAAGTGCAAAATGTGCCACCCAGCAGTTCACAGCATCTGCTTTGAGTCTTGATCTCCACTTTGCTTTCTTTGTTAGTGTGGGATTTGCAATAAACTGATGGGTGATCTCCTAGATCAGATCTTCATTCACCGTGATACCATCCACTGTGGGAAATGCTATGAGAAGCTCTTCTAGGTGAGTGCTGGAAGCCTATAGTATAAGCAGCCAAGAACCCCATTAGACTAAAGGAACAAGACAAGAGTTTGCCCTGGTTTGGACCTAGATTTTACTTCAGAACCCTGCTATGCTTCTCAGTCAGTCTAATCAGATAATCCCAAGTCCTTGTTCTGTGCCCTATGCTACTTTCAGATCTTAAGTCATATGGGCAAAACCCCTCCCTAGGGACCCTTCTCAAGTTTCTAGAGTTATAGCATCTCCCTCTAAAGAAATCTCCCACATCCAGAACCTCAACTGAATCCTCTAATCCTGGAATACCTGGGCCTATTTTGTGACAAGCAAATAAAGATGTAGAAGGGAAATGTTCTGAACAAACACCTAGTTGGTATATGGTAGAATATGAACCTCATCCCAGGTCTCAGATTCTAGTACTGTGCTCTCTGCTATATACCTTTGACTGTTTCCACCATTGTTTGCATATCTTTAGATTTAGGCTTAATAGCGATGTTGAATAAAGCAGCCTCTGTGCCAGTAGCCAATGGGATTGTTTCAAGTGTCTGAACACAGCATATTTTCCCTCTCTGGTTACACAAAGGTTATCTTCTCTCCAGGAAATGCATTTGCATTGGACTTAGGCTGTCCGGTATTAAGTGCTGTCAGGTATTGAATGCTTACTTTAAGTCTAATTACTACCTCTGTTTCCTTTTGGCTCTCACAGGCTGAAAAGAAGCTGATGAGCTCCAGATGCATTTGGCTGTGTACTTGTTCCCAAATTGTTGGTTCTTAAACCCTTACATCCTCCTTACCTGGTTTCACCGTACTTCTGCTCACCTTGTTCTGAAATAACACATCTAGTATTGTATCTCAATGATGTTATACCTTAGAAATTCAAATCCATATCTCAGATGCCCCCAGGATGAAAAACTCCACTTTGACTTCCGTAAGATTTGTTGCCTTTCTAATGAGTTCAGGTGACCTGGTATGTCAGACATGGGCACAAGTGTAGGTATCAGTGTATGCAGACTTTTGGAGGCTTCCAAGGGGCAAAACCAAATGCTGTTGACGATCCCTGGTAGGGAGATTACAGGCTTTGAATACTAAGGGTTGACAATAGGCTAATGTTTAGCTTGTATGTTCATTCTGTGTGTTTGTGTTTCTTATACAATTTTTACAATAGTTTGTGATATAATTATGTAGCAGATTTTAATTCCCTCCTCCCATTGTCCTTTGAATTTTTCCCATCAGGTATATCAGTACAAATTGGAAAGTTTGCCCAGGTTTAAATTTGGTAAGATACAGTAATTAAGAGTCTTCTACCAAAAAGGCTATCTGTGTCTGTTTGAATCTTGATAGCTAGTTCAAGTCTTTATCCTCAGTATCCTGATTCCTGGAGTTACTTAGAAATTCTTTGAACTGCATTTAGGGTATATAGATCCCCAAAAAGTCAAAAAGAGAACAGATAAGGTTTCTTGAGATCTCACTGCACACCAGGCATTACACAAAGCACTGGCTTTTAATCATTTTAATAGTCTCTAAGATATTCTTATTTTAGAAATGAAGATAGTAATGCTTAGAGAAGTGGGAAGAATCCTGTAGAACCATTGTTATCTCTCTCGGGAGCCCATACTTTCTCCAGAAGCAATAACCATCATGAGACTGACCTAGTGTTGAGCATGTGTTAGACACTGTGTGGAGGGTTATATTCCCACTATGAAATACTGGCCTTAGGCATACTCAGACATGGGAAAGGTGTTATATTCACTCTGTCTCTGAGCTTCTTGGATCCCTCCTTGAAGCACTATAGTAATCTAATTGCTATCTAGTGAATGGCACAGTAGAGTCTCTGCCCTGAACACACGGTGACCTGTTTTCTGCCCTGACTAGTTTTCAAACCAACATCAACTTCTAGGTTTCCAGGTGCTGAAAGCACTAAAAGCTGATGTCTGGCAGAGCAGAGGCAGGTTCATCCTGCAGTCTGCTAATACACTGCTCTGATTCAACTTCACTCTGCTGCTTTTAGGTGCAGCATTAAATTGTAAGCTTCTTGAAAGGAAAAATAGCCCTCAAGATTTGGGGATGTAAAATGGAGGCCGCTTCATTTGATTTACTTATAAAATAGCTCTTCTCTTTACTTAGACTCTGAGCCCTAAACACATTTCAGTATGGACTTGTTCTTCCTATCAAGTAGTCAAAGAACATTCTATTTATTCACATATTTATCTGCTGCATGTACTCTGAAGAGAAGCAGTACAGTATGCCACACCCCCACACTAATTATCAACTAGTCTTTCTGAAATTCCACTTTAACATGGGACTTGGCAGATGGTAGGCAATAACATATGAGTGCCAAATGAATTAATAAGAGAAAAGTGAATCACTCCATAGGTGACATCCAGAGTAAAGAGGCCCAGGGTGGGATGCTTTCTCCACCTTAAAGGTATACTTTGCCATTTAAGGGACTTTACAAATATGGAAGATACTCGAAGATAGCTTGCAATGTTAGCACTGATTTGAATCCAAATAGTCCTTTTGTGTCTTAAAAGACAAAAGAGAGGGATGGTTTTGCATTATTTTACTTCTTTTTAATTGCTTAGTGTTTCTACTTATATTTGCTTAATCCACATTAATGTATGCAAATTATAATAAATGTTAAGATGTTACACATCACTATTATATCCTTCAAAAACATTTTTGGTTTTTGTGTGTATATGTGCACTCAATTATAGTAATTTGGTGATTTTAGGCATGTGGTTTACCAGAAGCAATTCTTGCTACAAAACCAAGCTGGACATGGTGGTTTATGTTTATAACCCTAGTGCTCAGGAGAATGGGAAACAAAATTGCCAAAAGTTTATGGGGGGAGGGGGCAAGCTACTTTGAGTTGGGGGAGGTAACCGTGGAGCTGTAACCCTAAAGGGGAAGGGTTACTCACGCCTAATAAATATTTTCTAATCTCACACTGTAGACGATACTGGGCCACGAGAGAGTGATGCGTGAAAATGAAGCTAGGGTTCAGGGGGAAGCAGGCTCTGCCTCCTGATATTCAGAGTCAGAACCCACCACCCTTCTAAAACACTGGTTAACAAGCTCTGCAGTGACACATATGACAGCCACACTCATTCCGTAACACACATTTACATTCATCAACATACACATGCTTCACATTCAAGTCACCGGACCCTCACTGAGTCCAGTCTCATGCTCTGATACACCGATTCTCACTTACATGCATGTGATCATGCTCACCTTCAGTGATAGAGTCACTTTCAGAGATAGTCATACATGCTCCCAACATTCAAAACCATGCTCCTGCACACACACAGTGACTCAACACATATTCCCTGTCAAAAATGCACACTAACACACATGGGTACGTGCACACAGAAGTAAACATAAAAAGCCATACCTACTTAGGGATTACAACACACATACCCCCACCAAAGGACAGGAAAAATGCTATGACAGGCTGTCTGGAATGAGTCTCTCATCACCCCCTTTGTCCTGTGACACCCAAATCTGCTAAGTACTCTGTCTAGTCCATAAACATCGTTCAGTGGATTGAACTGGGTAGGTAGAAAAGCTTCATGCTCCAATTTATGTACAGCATCTATAGGGGCATCATTCCCTGGCCCTTTTGGAGTCTTTTCTGTATCTGTCCCATAGATGCCCTGAATCCTCTACAAATACACTGCTGCACCAGAAATCCAGGGGCTACCCTTCTGTAACACACCCCTCCTTCAGCATGTACCCCCTTTACTCCTGCTCCTGTCAAGTGCCCTAGGAAGACAGTCACTGTAGCTCACATCCATTGTTTACCAGAATCCTGACTGCTTCCCATCCAGAAGACCACTATAGCCCCTCATGGTCTCAGACATGCACAGATGCTGATGTCAACCTAGCCACCATTGCTGCCCTCCAACTCACTTGCAGCAGAAGTAGGGCATATTGGAACATTCATGAAATTATGAAATTTATTTAACAAAAACTTGCACTAAAACTATTAAAAAAGAGGTAACACAGAAACTTTCAGTGCGCACTAGAAGCCATGGGTCCCGTCCTTCCCCACTCCCAGGATGCTGCCCACACAATCTCCTGCTACAATATAGTGTCCCAGTGGGAGGAGAGCTAGCATAACCTTGGCTGGCACAGAAGCCCAAAACACGTGCCAGGGAGTCAGGGCTCCACACAAGTCACTCTCAGCATTGTACAGCAGCAATGAGTGGGGATACACACACAAGGGGGCATGGGACTCATTGGATAGCTGGGTTACTTTGAGGTTAGCAGATACTGGGGTGGGGGCAGGCCAGAGCAGGGAGTAGCCTGCCTCGGGGTAGCAATGGGGAGGGGGCATCTGTGTTGGGAGAGCCAGGCAGAATCCTGTAACTCTTCTGTAACTTCCTTTCACCGGTTTGGTATGGATGGCAGATGGGGGATGGCACCTGAGAGGTGCCTGCCAGCCGAGTTGTACCAGGCTCTCCTTGCTTGCTCTCTGGGATTCTCCAACAGCCCTGGACAAAAGAGAACAGAAGAAACTACCCCCTACCAAGTCCTCCTGCGCTGCTCCTCTACCTCGTGTTCACACAAAATCTGCCCCGCACATTCACAGGCTCTCAGGCCAGCTGAGGGCCCGAACCCCATGGTGTCCCCCATGCCTCCAGCACTGGGGTCTTTTCTCCCTCACAGTCGTCTCAGGGTGCCAAGGAGGAAACTGCCTCCGGGTGGGTACTGGCTTCCCGGGACCTTTGGGTTGAGAGACCCCGGGGTTTCACTCACGAAACGACTCAAGGGTGCTGCCCTCGTGGGGCTCCCCTAGAGCAGTGTAGACGATCCTGAAGACGGGCTGCACCCTGCGGCCTCCTCTCCGGAGCACTGTCTTCCTGCCTTTCTGCATTTTCCCCTGGGCATTGCTTCTCTCTGGCCAAGGTGACCCTGTGACCAGTTCCTCCATGCCCTGTGCTGCTTCAGTGCCAGTGGATATGCTTAGCTCAGAGGCTCCTTTATCTTCTTCATCATCTGACTCACTAGTGTCCCAGCTGGAGTCTGGATCACCCTGTAATTTGGCTATAGTAGCCCCCCATTCCTTTCTCTGGTACTGCCCATTGGCCTGGAACATGGTAGCCACTGAGCTAGGAACTTGTTTTTGCTTGTTGGAATTATTTCTGGCTAGTGGCAAGTGGGGTTCCTTACTGTGGCCCTGGCTGTCCTGCCCTTCTGCACCACTCATGTCCCCTACCATTTGCCTGCTACAGGAAGGAATTCCTGGAGGTCTTGAGCCTATATTCCTCTGGGGTTGGGGTGGCTCATAGCCCCAGCCCCTCTGTCGTTTCCCGACTCCTGTGCTGCAACATGGGGTTTCTGCTCATCAGGTTCATTTTCAGCCCTGAACCCTGATTCCTTCATAGGTCCCTCTTCCCCAGCATTGTGTCTCCAAAGCAGTCTCTTCCGTTTCACTGGTGTGACTTCCTCTCCTATGGTCTGGGTGCTGATCTCCTTAAAAAAACCTGCCTGGGTGGTAACCTGATCTGCTGCGGCCCCACAGGCCCTGTTTTCCCTTTCTGCCAGATTCTGCTGTTCCTTCATCACTACCATGGTTGTCTCCCACTCTTCTTCATCTCGAGTGAGTTTCATTAACTCCAGAAAAGTGGGTGGGCACCCTTGCTGCTCTAAGAGGGACAGCTTTCCCCTAAGGCCAGTGGTCAGGGAGACTCGCGATAAGAGATGCTTGAGGCGAATGGAGTCTACACTGTGTGGTGACAAGGGGCTCTGCTGCACTGCTTTCTGGAGCAGGGGCTCTAAGCGCAGCAAGTAATCGGATAGCTTCTCTGCAGGGTTCTGAGAACACTGAAGGAGCCTGAACTGTAAGATCTTATATTCTTCTTTATTCCCAAAAATCTGCTTTAGGGCTTTCAAGCACTGCTCCATAGTTAGGGACTCATTGCTAGCCCACAGTGCCTCCATGATTGACAGGGCAGAGCCACTCAGGCTCTCTAGAAGGCGCCGCTTCTTCTCCTCCTCAGACACCTGCCATAACTGCATCATCTCAGTGACCTCCTCTAACCAGGTTTCAAAGGTCTCTTCTCCTGGGCCTGGAAAGGGACTGCCAGAAAATGCTTTCAGTTTTTGGTAACATATGCCATTGCATAGAGACTTCAAGATTCTCGGTTTGTCTTGGTCTGAATTTCTAAGCTCCATGTTCACTGGAAGGGCAGTGCTAAACCCCAGGACTTTGGCCACATCTACCATTCTCCGCCCTTCATCCCTTAGAAAGTAGATCAGCTTATTGATAAACTCATCATCTGTGCTACGGGGTTTGACTACCACTTCCCAGGCTCCCCCTGCTGCTGGTATATGAGTGGGCATCATCATATAATTGACAACTTCAGTGAGTTCAATTAAGACTGCTTTAGCCTGGTCTTCCCTCCTGAACATCCTGCCTATCACCTTGTGAGCACACATAGGAGGTAAGCCTTCTTTCAGAGCTTCTTTGATCTCAGCCTCACTGCACTGCACAGGGATGCCCACAATGAGCACAGCCTTCTTGGGATCCAAGTCCATCCCCTTACACCAGTCATCTAATAGAGCCACAGCCATTGCTACTAACCTCTATGGACAGACCTGACACTAGGGTACTTATTATCTCAACATTGTCCCAGGACACAAAGGATTCTAAGCTAAGGCCATGTAGAAAGGCAGCGATGTCCTGGGTTTCCCACAGCCTGAAATGCAAATGAAGAGCTCAGTTAATACTTCCTGTCACCTTTTCTCCTCCCAGAGATTCAGTCTTGCTTCCTAGGCTCTTGCAATCATTTTGTTGAGGGTCTTCCTATATAAAGCTCCCCGAAACTCACTGGACCTTGCTGACCTCTTGCCACCGCAACCTCCTTGGATGTCCAGGAACTCTACTGAGTGTTCTGCAACTACCTGTGGGAAAAATGCCAATGTCAGGAGGTAAACATGATGCCTGTGAACACTGAAAAAGACCCAGTGGAAGAAAGAGCAAGAAGAACACTCAGCTACCCACTAGGAGCTATGTTGGATTCAGGCAACTTACTCCTTGCTGGGTCCAAGACATAGGAGAGTCTCATCTTCCAAAGAAATGCTCAGCACAAGGGAAAGATTACTGGAGCTGAGCACATATGATCAGAGTGGTGGGTGCAAAGAATGTGTGACAAGCTAAAGTACTGCCATAGACAAGAGAATGGTGTGGATCTGGGTTTCTACCATAGGTTGCTACACAGTGCCATGTGGTAAGGTTAAGACTCTTGAGGAACAACAGGTAATGTTGTGGTCCTCCAACCAATAAAATGTCTTAGCAACAAAATGATGGTAATGACAGGTGTAGGGGGTAGATAAGCAGAGACTAAGGAATGGGCACTGATATTAAAAAAAAAAAAAGCACATGGTTTCAAATTGTATACAATCTGCAATCAGAGAGAGGAAAAGCCTCCAGAAAGGAAACACAGATTGCCACCCTAACTATGGTCCTACCCTGCAATCTCTGAACCTTGGCAAGAAGCCCCTTCACCAGCTCTTTGCTAGAGTTAGAGACTACTCCCAAAATAGCTGCTTACCCTGCTCTTGGCTGTGTAGGCCCCCACTGAAGTATGGATACAGCGACTTTGTTGGCACTGGCACTTGATACACGTAGTCTTCTGGCTTCTATCCAGACAGGTGGTGCAGAGATGCTGGTTCCTGCCCACTGATCTGTTCAAGGCAATCAGAGGAATATTTAACAGTCTGTGTTGAATTTCTCTGCCCATGCAGGCTGTGCTAATTTGAGTGTGAACAAGAATCTAACAACCTTGCGGACATGGTGGCCCATACCTTTGAACCCTGCAGCTGAGGCTAATCTGTCAGTTTGAATCCTGCCACCACTACATTGTAAGACCTTATTTTTTTTTAAAAAAAAAAAAGTTCGTTGTGAGGATTTGAGGAACTGCTCCACTAAAGGGCACTGTTCAGACAGAAGGACTTCTAATATAGAGATGCTCCCCATCCACCACTGACCACATCCACTCAAAACTCACCCCTATTCAGGTTCATCCTGGTTCTAGCTCTGTGCCAGGTGTCCCAAGCATCTCTCCTTCCCTGTTCCTGTGCCATCTCGGACCACCTGCTGCCTCATTGGTTCCAGCCTCGTGTTAGCTGCCCCAAGCACCGCCCCTTCCCTTTTCCTGCACCATCTCGGACCACCCACTATCTTGGTTCCAGTTTAGAACTAGGCCCTGACCCATCCAGGTTCTAACACCGTGTCGACTGTCCCAAGCATCACCCCCTCCCAGTTCCAGTGTGTTCCCATACCCTGCAGTTATCTCCGTTCCTCTTCTGTACCAGGCCCAGCCCCGTCCAATATACATTTCAAGTATGTCTCCAGGTCCTGAACCATCCAGGTCCCATCACAGCTTCTAGCAAGTATCCAAAGTCACTTGTGCTGCCAAATAGCATCCTCACTTATGCCTAAACTCCTGTATCTCGACCTCATCTAAAACGCAAACAAAGCCCATTGCATTGACTTCACAAGAGGCAGGAAGGTCACCCGAACCCAGAAATTTGAGATCAGGCTGTGCAACACAGAAATGCTGTCTTACAAAGAGAAAACAAACTGCTTCCCGTCCCTTCACAAATGTCCTCCACTGCAACATACCCCTTATCTCATATTCTCAAAGAAAGGGTGATAGTGGAAGTAAGCAGAAGGCCATAAAAGGAAAGGACATAAATGGAATGAGTGTGGTGCCAGGGGGAGGGCATTAACATACCTGTTGAAGAGGCTTCCAGACCAGAACTCCAGGAGATGTGACGACCACACACGCTGCAGGGCAAAACGGGCTCCAAGATCACGGCTGGAAGACTTTATATATGCCACCCGCCCACACACCCCGTGGAGTTGCACACGGCCCTTTTGGGCTGCACACTGCTATCACCTCCCTCCCCCCTCTCCCTAATAGGAGGATACTGTGGGCCTCGCCCAATCCTGACAGTTCCATAGGGAGCAAGTGGGAGGGACACAGAATTTGAACAGTGTCGGGAGGTGTGCATCAAAGCTTGCCTTAGTAGAGACTACCGACCGTGTTATACCAGGCCAAGCAGCCATTGGTTCCTCTGTTTCTCGTGTCTGTGCCTCATTGGCTACTAGCTGTGACATGATAGTTATCAGTTACTCTTATTTCCATATTCAAATACTGAACGGTGGGTGGATCCACCTAATCCCACCGGCTGAGCACAATGTGTCCGATTGTAGAATATAGGGCTTCGCAGAAAATGCAAGATGATCAGGGACTTGATAACTAAAAGTAATATATTCCCTGTTCATTTTACGTTTGGCTGTGACATACAGTTGAAGGCCAGTATCACAAAAGCTTCTTGCATTTCTGCAGTGCAAAAAACTTTGCCAGGTTTACCAAGACGTATAAAGTAGCAAAATATTTCATTCTCTGGGCTTTGGAGGCTTGCAATCCCAGCATTCACTCACTAGGATGCAGAAGCAAGAGAACTTGAGTTTTAGCCTGGGATACACAGTGAAAACCTTTTATTTTTATTTTTCCTTATTATTTTTTCTTATTTTACATATCGATCCCAGTTCCCTCTCTTTCCCTCCCATGTCCCCAGACCCCTCTTCCCGTCCAATTCCCCACACACTCTACAGGGAGGGTGATGCCTTCCAGGAGGGATCAACAAAATCTGTCAAGTATTTGGAGTAGGGACTAGGCCTTCTCTCCTGTCTCTAGGCTAAGGCAGTTATCCCTCCATGGGGAATGTGCTCCCAAAGTCCTTTCATGCACCAGGGATACATTCTGGTTCCACTGTCAGAGGTCCCTTAGACTGCCCAGGCCTTCTAACTGAGACCCATGTTCAGGGGGTCTGAGTCAGTCCCATGCCGAATTCCCAGCTATCACTTTGGAGGTCCATGAGCTCCCCCTTGTTCAGGTCAGCTGTCTCTGGGTTTCTGTAGCCTGGTCTTGTCCTCCCTCTCTGCAACTGGATTCCAGGAGTTCAGCTCAGTGTTTAGCTGTGGGTGTCTGCTCCTGCTTCCATCAGCTACTAGATTGAGGGCTCCATGATGGTGGATAAGTTAGTTGTTGATCTCATTATCAGAGAAGGGCATTTTTCCGGGGTCAGCTCTGCATCTTGCCCCCCCCCCCACGCTGTTGGCCTGAGTGGCAGTGAAAACCTTTTAAACCCTCCTCTTTCCCTTCTTCCCCCTTCCCTCCATTCCTTCCTATTTTCCTACCTTCCAAGTGTCTACTCACTTCAGTCTCTAGATTTCCTGGGCACAAATTACTCACCTAGTACTTTAAATACTTTCCAAGCTTTCCCAAGGAAGATTTCTCCCACAGTGCAGACTCCAATGTTTGCCCACGAGCACCAAATTTCTTCTCTAAAGAAGGCTATGGGTAGGACACAGGAAACATATAATTAAGTATATATTTCAAGACTTTGGTAGAATAATAGATTTATTTTGCTTTATTTGAGATTTAAAAAAAAAAAGAGTAGGCTGTTTCATGCCTGTTGTTCCAGCATCTGTGAGATGAAAACAGGAAGATGCAGTTTCAAGTCAAGCCAGGCTATATCCTGTGTTCAAAGCCAGCCTAAGCTCCACAGTGTGACACCTTGTCTCAAAAACTCTAAAACAAAACTACACAAACAGAATAGGCATCTCTGGAATGTTTCAATAAAAGGGGTCGCTGCTCAAGATATTTGCAGACATGCTAATCTTCCCAGCTCTCATTTGTTCATTTATACAGGACTGAGGTTAGAAGTCATGGTAGAGCAAATGAAAATTAAGCTATCCCTCCCCCCCCAGGTTTGAAAAGAGAGTTGCATAGGGTACATGGTGCTGCTAGACAGTCCTAAATCCATGTGGTTCATTTCACCCAGGAGCTGCCAGAGCACCGGCACATTGGCTGTCCCAGAATTCACTATTTAACCAATGTCACATAAAAAGCTCACACTCACCTCTGGGCTACTGGTGAGAGTTCTATTCCTGTCCTTCTCATAGGTAGAGAAATAGCTTCATCTTTTCTAAACAGCAATAAAACATTATGGAGGAGTGGCACCAATGTTGAATTTTAAGTAAGCCATTGATCCTGGACACACTGAAGGTTTAACAAACCCACCTCTGTGTATTAAAAAAAAAAGTCTTCTCACAAAGAAATTTCGTAATTTCCTTCCCCATGCAACACAGATTAAAGGGATGCTTTCCTTGGTTACATATGTGAAAGCCAGACCCAAAGCCTTTTAAATCATCCTCCATCGTCCGTCACCCCCCTCCCCGGTGTGTGTGTGTGTGTGTGTGTGTGTGTGTGTGTCCTTAGGCTCAGTCTCATAAATGATTAGCTGAACTGCTCCTTCCCTCTGATCAACACAAACATATTGTTTGCCTGCCAGTTTGAAGTAGCTTCTTTTCTTTTTCCATACTCTTGAACTTTGCCCCACTCACTCCAAAGTCAGCAGATTGCCTTAATGGTCACTTCTTTGAATAAGCAGGCCCCAGATAAAACTTTCCATCATCTATCTGCTCATCAAGAATTATCTCTGTGTCTGTTTGTTCTTCTCTTTACAAGAAAGCCTTATTGTTATGGCAACAACATATC